AGTCTTATATATACATATGAAGAATGAAGCCAGATTAAATTATAGATCCTTGGATCCTTCACACACTTGAACCTCCTAATATTAGTACTCTTTCTACTGTATCATGACCTAGGGAATAGCATAGATATATTTCTGAAAGATTATTAATTATATATAGGTGGTACCATATCTATATGAAAAATAGCTATAGTAGTATATTTTATAGAATTTCAGTTAATTGTATATAGAATTGTCTCATCTCCCTCAGTTTTGACCTTATCAAAGAGGGCATCCCTGACCACTTTTATCAAAATAGAGCCCCTGCCTTCTTTCCTTGCTCCACTTTTCTACATTTATTATGATGTGACCTATTATATATTTATTTTTTATTCCTCTCCAAATAAAATGAAAGCTTATTATAGAGGCAATATAGCCTGGCGATTGAGAACATACACTCTGGAGTAGGACTACTCAAATTCCCATCTCTATCTATCTATCTATGTACTATTTATTTATTAATAGACAGGGTCTCACTCTGTCACCCAAGCTGGAATGCAGTGGAGCAAACATAGCTTGCTGTAGCCTCAAACTCCTAGGCTCAAGCAGTCCTCCTGCCTCAGCCTCCCAAGTAGCTGGGACTACCGGTGCATGCCATCACACTCAGCTATTATTTTCTAATGTTTTTGTAGGTACAGGGTCTCACTATGTTGCCCAGGCTGGTCTCAAATTCCTGGGCTCAAGTAGTCCTCCCACCTAGGCGTCCCAAAGTGCTGGGATTACAGGCATGAGCCACTGCGCCCAGTCCTAGCTCCATCTTTTACGAGCTCTGTGGCCTTGGGCAAGTTTCTTAACCTCTTTATATTTTCGTTTCTCATTATATAAAAAGGAGATGATAATAATAGTACCTACCTCATAAGTTTATTATGAACACTGAATTAACATATCTAAAGCACTTAGAAAAGTACCTGGATTAGGTTTAGCACTGTATGTGTGTACTCTTGTTATTGTTACTTAGTTTGTTCAATGCTATATCTATAAAACCTAGACCAGGACTTAGCACATAGTAGAGTCTCAATAAATAATAATTTCAACATAACTGATACTTTAATCTTATAAAAATGTAAGAACTCTTACCTCTTGCCATATATAAAAATTCATTTTAAATATATCAAAGACCTAAATGTAAGAAATAAAACTCTTATAAGAAAACATAGGAATAAATCTTCATGACTTTGGATTAGGTAACAGTTTCTAATATATAACACCAAAAACATAAGCAACAAAAGAAAAAAACAGATGAATTGGACTTTATCAAAATTAAAAAACTTTTGTTCATCAAAGGACATTGCCAAGACAGTGAAAAGACAACCCACATAATGGGAGAAAATACTTACAAATAATATATCTGATAACATCTACTATGCGGAATAAATGAAAGAATCTCACAACTCAATAAAAAGATAAACAATCCATTTTAAAAATGGGATCAGAGTATGAAAGACATATTTCCCAAGAAGATATACAAATAGCAAAACTAGCGCGTGAAATGATGTTCATCATCATTGTCGTTAGGAAAATGCAAATCCAAACCATATTGGGAAAATGCAAATCCAAACCATATTGAGATACCGCTTCATACCCACTAGGATAGCTATTAAAAAATAATAATGACAGTTGTTGGTGAGGATGTGGACAAATTGGAACCTTCATATATTGTTGGTTAGAATGTAAAATGATGCAACAACTTTGGAAAACATTTTGGTAGTTCCTCAAATAGTTAAATGTAGTTACCCTATGACCCCGCAATTCCAATCCTTGGTATGTACCCAAAAGAATGAAAAACACATTCACACAAAAATTTGTGCCTGATTGTTTATAGCAGCATTATTCATGATAACTAAAGATGGAAACAATCCATATGTTCATCAAGTGATGCATAGATAAGCAAAAGGTCGTGTATCTATATAATGGAATATTATTTGGCCATAAAAAAAGATGAAGTACTGATACATGCTGCAACATAGATGAGCATTGAAAACATTATGCTAAGTGAAAGAAACCAGACACAAAAGATCACATATTTTATGATTCCATTTATGTGAAATGTCCAGAATAGATTAATCCATAGAGACAGCAAGCAAATTAGTGGTTGCCAGGGGTTAGAAGAAGAGGGAATATGGAGTGATTCCTTAATGGGTATGGAGTTTCTTTTGGGACTGATGAAAATATTCTAGAACCAGATAGTGGTTGCACAACTCTGAATATACTAGAAACCACTGAATTTTATACTTTAAAATGATGAATTTTAAATTATTTAGTTATGTGAGTTTTATCTCAATTTAAAATATATGTACACATATAAGAAAACATAAATTTTATGTGCACATTAATTGTTAAAGTGTACTTTCTATACATCTTTTGAAAATTTTTATGTTTAAGAGAATGAATGTTTTATCAATACTAAAATTGAGATCATTATAACTTTCACGATACATAAAAAGTTTTTAATATGGTGAAATGTCCACTATGGGAGTAGATACATATTTAATAAAATAAATGAATATATGCTTATCTTTTTAATAATGTCATCTTGTTTAGCTATGTTATCCATATTAATAAGATGTCTCTAATATTTTATTTTAGGACTATTTCTTTAATATTATACACATTAATGTAAGAATATTTCTTTTCAAAATTGGCATATTTTAAATAATGAGACTGGCATAAATTTTAAAATATGTACCATCTCTATTGAAAAGATTAATTTTTCAAATGTTTGTTGTTTTTGTTGAGTTGTGGCCTACCTTGTAATAACTATTACTAAGTGTCCCTGGGGTTGAAAAAGATTTTAATATTTTGTGCTAAATATTGCCAAATATTGCCAGTACAAAAATGTGTAGCTCTGAGTAATGATTAAGACAATTATTTGACTGACTTCTCATAATCTAACACTTAGTTGATTCTTAATATGTGGCAAGCACCAATCTCTGCATTTTACATGTTTAACATATTTATTCCTTACCAAAACCTATTAAAGTGAATACTGTTATCTCCATTTTTCAGATGATGAATAGAGACATAGATAGAGAGTCCTAATAGGTGGTCAAGGTAACCCAGACACAGCTACTAGTGCATAGTCAAGATTTGAACCCATAAATTCTGGTTGCAGAATTCAAACTTGTAACCACTATGCTGTATTACACTATACTCCCTCACAAATATTTATTTCCATTGGAAAAAGAAGATACTAATGCCTTGCTAGGAATAATGGATTCAGAGCTTAAATGATATAACTGGTTTCTAATACTGGCATAAATTAAAAGGTAAATCCACTTTTAGGAGGTACCTAAAATATGTAATAGCTAATGTATTTTTCAGCTGATTAGTTCACATAATTCTAAGCTTAAGTAAATTTGATCTTGAAAAGTAACAGTTGTAACTTAGACTAATTTATAACATAGCACAAGATTATGTTTACTAATCCAGTGTCCCACATTATCTTTATGATCCTGTCTTATAATAAAAAATAAAACAATTATTGCATGTGCTTTTTTTCTTCCAGATACTTACATATTTTTTTCTTTGAATTATTTTCGTAGTACCTCCTTACGAAAACACGTTTCTGTGGTTTTTGTAGTCACTCAGTAGGTCCCCTTCTAAAATTAATAAATTAGAATTCAGTGTCTCATCATTTAATCAGGAATTTTAAATTCTATTTTTATTGTTAAAGAAGAGAGATAAGCTTGCAGATGCTAAACTAACATTTGATATGGGTTATTCTTAGTTGTTGCTTACTCGTTGTTTCAGTGAATGAGTTTTTTGACTTCTAGAGTTACAAATCAGCAAACAGATTGTGCACATGATTTATTTTTACCTTGTGGCAAACATAACAGTAATTACATGTAATACTTAAGTGTAAATTCCATACTTTAAGTATGTAAATTTTTTAAAAATGAGCATAGCCTCTTGTTGGAATAGCAATTGATTTTTGTGAGTATAGATATTAGAATATTTTCTTTAAAATCTAGTTCATTGCTAAAAAATTAAACTTAACATTTAATATTACATCTGTTTTCTCTGTTTTAGAAATATCTATATTGTTATGAGTTTGTGCTTACGTCAATTATAAGGCATCAATTTTCAGTACATTGGAAAGTTCTAGTGTTGCTAAATTTATGATTTAAGAAAATTGTCATATTTTTACCACAGATCTTAATAATGTGTCATTTTGTTTTCTTAGGAACTTCCAGCACCATTACTTGATGATAATTGTAAAAAAGAACTTGATAAAGATGTATATAATCATAAAACACCAGAATCTAATGTTAAGATGAAAATAGCTTGGCGTTACCAGTTATCACCCAAGATGGAGGCAAGTCAACATACAAACTGTTTCTGATATTTGCAAATGTGTTTTTCACTTTATAGAATCTCTTATGATATATCTATTATT